TGTGTATTTTCTCCAAAAAAAAGGTTGAGAAGTTAGAGGGTTGACATGTTGTGGGGTTGTTAACCAATGTCATAAAACAATATGTGTGCTACTGTTTCATGAGAAACTATTTGTTCTGTAAGCCTTCACCTGAAGTACAATAAAAATAAAAAAAAATCATATATATTCCCTAACCATAGTGTAATCAAAAATTAACTTTAAAAATAACAAAAAAAAACCAAGAAGCTAATAAAAAAAACCCTATATATTTTCAATCTAAAAAACACACTCCTAAATAATCACTATGGAAATCAAAATATTTATAATAGCCATAAAAGAAATGCATATAGACTAGGTCCTAGAATACAGTTAATACTATAATTGGAGAAAAATTTAGACTTAAATGTATTTATTGAAAAATAAGAAAAACAAAATCAATGAGCTAAGTATTGAACTCAAGAAACTAAAAAATTATTTCCAGCTTTTAATTGACCATAATTAAAAGAGCTGGAAATAATAAAGGTAAGACTAACTGAATAAAAAATAACATAAAGAAATTAGCAAGAAAATCAAAAGCTAGTTCTCTGAAAAGACCGATAAAATAAATAAACCTCCCAACAAGACTGATAAGAGAAAGAGAAGGCAAAAATAAACAATATCTCTCTAAAAGAGAGAGTATATATGAATACAGTCAAGATTTTAAACATAAGAGCCATAATTAGAGTAAGTTTATGCCAATAGATAATTTATTCTATAAGCAATAGTACATCTAAACAGATGAACAAAGGAAATTAATCTATAAATCCAGTGTAATTAAGACTTTTCAGGAAGCGGGGGTGGTGGAAGGGAGAGGGTTGTCCTATCAGTAACCAAGACCAATTAAAACTGCTATCACGTAGCCTTATTGTTTAGCTCTCCAGTGTTATAATATAGGCGTGAAGCTTGGAAAAATCTATTGAACTGAGTGATTAGCATGTTTCTAGTCTATCCTCTCAAAGAGAGATCCTCCAACAACTTGGCAGTAGCTGAAAGGTAGACAAGTCTGGATTGACGTCCCTGGGAAGCGCTGTGTTCTGCTCATTGAAGAGACCGCCCACATGCTTTAACACCAAGACAACAGGTGGCAAAACAGAGACTCTCCTGTGAACTGACATGATTGCCTATGTGACTGGCCGGACATTTTACTTCTGCATGGAGCATATGCTCTCTGTAAGCTTCAAGAAGAGCCAATGGGCTGCTCTGTGCATATGCCTCAGATGTGCACACCTCAGAGAACATGGGAGAACAAGTAACAAATGACCACCTTTCCCATGAACTGCTCCTGGTAGAACAGGCTAGCACCTGTAGATGGCTGGCTTTGGGAGTATGTCCCTAATGACCCACTGGAACAAGGCGCAAAATACATTCTCAGATAATTAAGTGAACTAACCTAATCAACGAAGGTATTGAGTGCTGTCTGGGGAGTAGTAGTGAAAATAACCATTTTGGTTTGTGCGTATGAACAGTAAATTCAATTGCTTAAGTGCACTCTTGAACTGGAATAATAGGCCCATTTCCTCAGGCAGAGGAGGATGGTTATCTTCCTACTCATTAACCCGTGGTAAACTGGTATGTGTCTACTTCATATAAAAACTGTACACTTGTTTTACTTCTAAATATGCTTTCACTTTAAATATAAATCATATGGTAACTATGTTTAACCATCTGAGGAACTTCTAGGTTGTTTTCCAAAATTTAAATTAAATCAGTTACTTTATTTTAAATTAAAAGGAAGGGGGTTGTTAAAATATACTTTTTGTAAGGGTATACAATGGCAAATAAAACAGACATGATCTCTGCCCTTGTGGAATTCTCCACCTTCCTGTAGAGGAGACAGACAGTAAAAAAAGTAAACAAATGAATTTTTAGTAACAAATTATGTTAATTGTAGAGAAAAATTAATAAGAGGCAAAGAAAAAGAATAGCAGCATGGCCAAGGGAGAAAACCCAGGGCATCACAGGTAGAAGGCATGTGTGATGTCCCTGAGGAAAGGGCAGGAAGAAGCCTCAGGAACCGGAAGGCGGGTGAGGCTGGAGATTAGCAGGCAGAGCAGAGGACACAGGATGAAACAGCAGAGGACACAGGAGCCAGAACTGCTAGACCTTTTGAAGTGCAATTAAGCAAGGGAATGTTGTGACCAAATTAAAAGATAACTCCAGAAGCTGTGTGAGAACTGGGAGATGAGAAGTGGCAAGGCCAAGAATGAAAGCAAGTGTGTCAGGATAGCTGTGACTACACAGAAAGCAGACAAGGGAAGGAAATCCTCCTCCCGCTCCACCAAGTGAGGATGTGAATAGTAACTCTGGGGGCAGCCACACATTGAGGCGTGTTAAGGACAGAATCAGAGATTGCTGGAAATGGAAGAAATTTCCCAGATCACAAGCCAACCTCCTCATTTTACAAGCGAGTAAGTGGTTCCTCAAGATCAAACGGAAAACTACGTAGGAGCAGGCACATGAACGAACTCCCAAAACAGCGCACTTTCCCCCAAGTCTTCGCTTCAATTTTGCTTCTGAAATACGTAATCTGGCCGTGTTGTACTTGCAGGTAACAGGACGAGTGGCTGGATTGAGAGTCAAAAGACCAGGATTCTAGTCCCAACTCCGCCATAAACTAGGCGGCAGAGGATGTATCTACGTGGGCAAACAATTTCACTTCTGAGCTGTAGTTTCCTCGAGTATAAAATGCTGACGGTCGCCCCAGAAACATGCTTTCAATTTAGAAATCAAGCCCAAAGAAATTTACATATGTAACTCCAGAACTTTAAATTAAGTGAATCCCCTGAACTAGTAACTGAACTATTCGTGGCAATTCCGGACACCCAGATCACATCCGGCAGTAGCATCTCGCTGACGAAAGTTTATTGGGCTAAATTTCTGTGCCTTTCAACTATCTTCTAAGAGATGGGCGAGCTACTTATGTCAAAGAGAACCAATAAAAGGCAGACAGATGAGCGGGATGGTGGGGAGGGAATGCTGGTCAGTGAGTAGTTCCAAAGATCCAGCCAGGCCAAAGGAAATACTGGTAGGCAGCCTCATTTCTTACTTATATTCTTCCTCCTTGGCGAGGAGGTCCCGTCGAGGTGCTGCAGGTTCCTGAACGCGTGGCGGGAGCGGAGTCCCTGGAACGCCTCGTCTCTGTAAAAGAGACAGACACTTATAGACCCGAAATTAAATGAGGTTCGGCATCCTTCTGGCCCACCTGGAGCGCAGTGGCTCCACAAAAGTCCGGGATTGGACCCACCCTGACACCAAGACCTCGCCCCGCCATCATTCAGGACCGCGACGCGATTACCAAGACAACCACTCATCTTCCCGCGAGACTTGGCACATCCCGGGCGCCTACCATTCCTACTCCCGCGCTGCTCCCCGAGAGCCCCGCGAGCTGGGGGCGGGGCCTGGGCGCCGGGGCGGGGACGCAGCCCGGGGGGAGACGCGAGCGTGGGGGTGCCGGCAGGTGCACGCTGTTGCTGCTGCTGCAGTGCACAGCTGGGGGACCGACAGGCGGTCTTCGTGCTTCCTGCTGGTCACCGCTGGTGCTGCTGCTGCTGTGCACTGCCGGGGGACCGACAGGCCGTCCACGTGATGCCTGAGTTACAGCCCGGTGTAAACTCGCAACCTGGATGCTTTTCAATCGAGGAAGGCAAGTCTTTGCCCACTACTCCACAGAGAGCAGTCTCGTAACGCCCCTACTCGTGTGTTTTCAACCTTTAGTGGCTGGTTCTCCCCCCGCGCCTTTCGTTTAAAATGAAATCTTCAGTGGAATTCTAAAATTCTGATTTCTAACATTTATTCACAGCATGATTACGCTCAAGTCAGTCTACCTGAGTTTATATCCTGGTTCTGCAACTTACTAGTTGTATGGCCTTTGGCATATCACTGTCTGTGTCTCAGTTACTTCATCTATAAAATGGGAATAAGAATATCACCCACCTCACAGAGTTATGAAGATTCAGTGAAGCTTAGAATCGTGCCTGGAACACAGTGAGCAGCCCAGAATTATTAGGTATAATGGTGTCAGTAAGGATAAGGCAGCTACTTTGAAGAACACAGATATTTTGAAATCGGAGGCTGGAGGTGACAGAGGCTTTTTATCACCAACAAATTTATCTTTTGCGTTTCGTTTTGGTTGCACAATATTGAGAAAATCTGATTTCTAAAGGAGAATTGTTGGATATGGTAACAGATTTTTCAGAGTTGGTTTTAGAAACTCAAGGCAGTATTAATTTCAAAGAAGGCAGAAGATTCACCTCAGGGCCTGCATCTCAGCAAGGCTTGGAGAACAATTTAATGTGTTGCAATTTGATAGATAGCACCTCTGAAAGTTTGGGGGTTTTAAAAATTATTTACGTATATGTATATAAGCAGCTACATCATAGATGGATAAACAGACGAATAAATGCACAGTTTAAAAATAATAAAATCAGTAATAAAGAAGCATCCATTCATCCTCTTGCTCAGCTTTAGAAAAAGAACCTTGTACATATTTAGATGCCCCCCTTGACCCTGCCAGATCTCCACAACCTTCCTCCACTGCTAGAGGTCAAAAGTATCCTGAATTTTGTGTTTATCATTTCCTTGTGTCTTGTCATTTCATTGCTCATATATGAATCACACTTGATGTGTTCTTTTGTGACTTGATTTTGTCGATATTTGTGATCTTTATCGATGTCAGAATTTCACAAATTTATCAATATCAATGTCGATATTTGTGAAATGTATCAATGTATGTACCTGCAATGCATTAATTTTCACTGCTTTATGGTATCCACTGTGTATCTCATCTACATGCATAAGAATATCTCCAGGATTTATACCTAGTAGCGGAATTGCTGGGTCTGTAGGAGATGCTCACGTCTGAAGTGATGTGTAAGCTTTCTAGGTCATGTCCTTAAAGGTCATGCCCTCCTTTCTCTTTTCCTCTTTTCACTGCAGAGGAACAAGACAAAAGGGACATCAGTTTTGAAACCTTCCGGCCACTATATAAGGTCTGAAGTGCTTAAGCCCAGACTATTATGTGAAAGTAAAATAAATTTCTGTCTTACTTGTTTTGTGTCTCAGTTACAGTAAACCTGTTGCCATTGAGTCAATTCTGACGCATAGTGACCCTATAGGACAGAAGAGAACTGCCCCATAGTGTTTCCAAGGCTGTAAATATGCACGCAGGCTGTCACAGCTTTCTCCTGTGGAGCAGCTGGTGGGTTCAAATCTCTGACCTTTCAGTTAGCAGCCAAGTGCTTAACCACTGCGCTACCAGGGCTCCTTCATTTTTAGTGTTGTTAGGTACGTCCAGTCGGTTCCGACTCATAGTGACCCTGTGTACAACAGAATGAGACACTGTCCCTTGTTCCACGACTTCTGCTGAATCCAGCTTGAATTTCTGGCAGTTCCCTGTGGATGTACTGCAACAACTGCTTTTGAATGATCTTCAACAAAATTTTACTTGCTTGTGATATTAATGATATTGTTCAATAATTTCCACATTATGTTGGATGACTTTTCTTTGGAATAGGCACAAATACATATCTCTTCCGGTTCGTTGGCCAGGTAGCTGTCTTCCAAATTTCTTGGCATAGACGAGTGAGCACTTCTAGTGTTGCATTTGTTTGTTGGAACGTGTCAATTGATATTCCGTTAATTCCCGGAGCCTTGTTTTTCACCAATGCCTTCAGTGCAGCTTGGACTTCTTCCTTCAGTACCTTCGGTTCTTGATCATATGCTACCTCCTGAAATATTTGAACATTGACCATTTGAGTGTCCAAAGAGTTACAGACGTACTAGATATTAATCCAAATATATCAATAATCACCTTAAATGTCTAAATACATCAATTTAAAGAATAAGATTGCCAGAAAAGATTTAAAAAAGAAGGCCCAATTCTATATAGTCCTACAAGAAACCTATTTTAAATATAAATACACAGATAGGTTAAGAGTAAAGGGATGGATCCAGAAATAAAACCACACATCTACGGCCAGTTGATTTTTGACAAGGGTGCCAAGTCCATTCAATAGGGAAAAAATAGTCTCTTCAACAAATGGTGCTGGGCCAACTGAATCTCCACATGCAAAAGAATACCTCACACCATATACAAAAATTAACTCAGAATGGATCAGTGATCTAAATATAAAAAGTAAAACCGTAAAACTCTTAGAAGAAAACATAGGGTTAAAACTTTAAAACCTTGTTTTTGACAATGGATTCTTAGATATGACACCAAAAGCATGAGCAACAAAAGAAGAAAAAGATAAATTGGACTTCTTCAAATTTAAAAAAACTTTTGTACATCAAAGGACATTATCAACCAAATGAAGAGACAACCTTCAGAATGGGAGAAAATATTTGTGAATCAAATATCTGATAAGGGTTTAATATCCAGGATATATAAACAACTCCTACAATTCAACAACAAAAAGACAAACAACTCAATCAAAAAATAGGCAAAGGGCTTGAATAGACATTTCCCCCAAAGAAGATGTACCTATGGCCAATAAGTGCATGAAAAGGTGCTCAGTGTCTTTAGTCATTAGGGAACAGCAGATCAAAACCACAGTGAGATACCACTTTATCCCTTCTAGAATGGCTGTTACCAGGATAATGAAAAATAACAAGTGTTGGCAAAGATGTGGAAACATTAGAAACCTTGTGCATTGCTAAGGGCGGGGGGAGTGTAAAATGGTGCAGCTTCTGTAGAAAACAATTGGCAGTTCCTCAGAAAGTTAAGCATAGAATTACCTCTGACCCAGCAATTCCACCTCTAGGTATATACCCAAAAGACTCGAAAGCAAGCACTCAAACAGATGCTTGTAGACCAGCGTTCATTGCAGAATTAGTCACAGTAGTCTGGGGTGGAAACAACCCAAGTGTACCTCAACAGATGAACAGATAAAGTATGATATATTCATATGATGGAATATTATACAGCCATAAACAGAAATGAAGTTCTGATACATGCTACACCTTGGATAAACCTTGAAAATATTATGCTAAATGAAATAAGTTGGATACAAGAGGACAAATATTGTACGATCCCACTTATATGAAATACCCAAGCAATGAAAACCTTATAGATCACAGCAAATGTTGTCCGACTTGCTCGCTTTGGACGTGTCATCAGGAGTGAACAATTGTTGGAGGAAGGCATTGTGTTTAGTGAAGTGGAGGGCCAGCAAGGTCGAGAGACACTTGGTGAGATGGATTGGCACAGTAGCCACAACAGTGGACTTGAACATGCTGGTGATCATCAGGATGACACAGGACCAGGCAATGTTTCATTCTTTTGTACATAAGGTCACCAAGAGTTGGGGTTGACTGATGGCAGCTATCTATGTATCTGGAGCCCTGGTGGGACAGTGGTTAAGAGCGTGGCTGCTAACCAAAAGGTCAGCAGTTTGAATCCACCAGCCACTCCTTGGAAACCCTATGGGACAGTTCTGTTCTGTCCTATAAAGTCACTATGAGTTGGAATTGACTCAACGGCAACAGATTTGGTTTTGGTTTTTGGTTATCCATTTGTATGAAATACCTAGAGTAGGCAAATGCATAGAGAAAAAGTTTATCAGTGGTTACGAGGAGCTTGTGGGAAGGAGCAGTGGGGTGTTATTGCTTAAGAGGCACGGAGTTTCTGTTTGCTGAAAAATCTTGATGATTGCACATGATGAATATAATTAATGTCACTGAATTGTACACTTAAAAATGGTTAAATGACAATTTTCTTGTTATGTTTGTTTTACCACAATAAAATTGAAAAAAAAAAAAAAGTAAAAGGATGGAAGGCACCTAGTTTGGAAAGGAAGAAGTAAAGCTGTCTTTACTCTCATGTGACATGATCTTGTGTATAGAAAAACCTAAGGAATCCACTTAAACTATTAGAACTAATAAGCAAGTACTGCAGGGTTGCTGGATACAAGATCAATGTACAAAAGTCAGTTGTATTTTTGTATAGTAGCAATGCACAAAACAAAAATGAAATTAAGAAACATTTACAATAATATCAAAAAATAGGAATAGATTTAACAAAAGTTTTTATGGATTGAATTGTGTCCCCCTAAAATGTGTGTGGGCTAGGCTATGATTCCCAGTATTGTGTGGTTGTCCTCCATTTTGTGATCTAATGTGATTATCCTATGTATTGTAAATCCTAACCTCTATGATGTTGATGAGGCAGGATTAGAGGCAGTTATGTTAATAATTAAGGACACAATCTACAAGATTAGGTAGTATCTTGAGTCAATCTCTTTTCAGATATAAAACAAAGAAGCAAGCAGAAAGGAGAGGGACCTCATACGACAGAAGGAAGAGCTAGGAACAGAGCACATCCTTTGGACCAGGGGTCCCTGCACTGAGAAACTCGTAGACCCAAGGGAAGATTGATGACAAGGACCTTCCCCCACAGCTTGACAGAGAAAGAAAACCTGCCCCTGGAGCAGGTGGCCTGAATTTGGACTTCTAGCCTCCTAGACTATGAGAGAATACACATTTGTTTGTTAAAGCCATCCATGGTAGGTATTTCTGTTATAGCACCACTAGATAACTAAGAATTGAAAAAGTTATGCTCTGAAAGCTGTAAAACTTTGTTTAAAAAAATTA